TGGTGGATTTTGGAAACCGGTGGTAGAGAGGTTTGCAAAGAAACTAGCTCCTGTGGAAAAGAAATTATATTTCGGGTGAGAGGATGGAGGATGAGGGAAGGTTCAGAGTAGTAGGAAGGTGGAGGTCTGAGGTGTCGATCAAAGCCAAGACTTTCAAGTTCGAAGAGGAAAGGATCAAAGGTGAGGACGTAATGAAAATCAGAGAGAATAACAGGGCGACTGTGTTGGTGTCAAAGGAGGTCATCGTCTGGATGAAAGGTTTCATAGATGGGGCTATCAACTCTGGTAAGGTGATTGGCTGGACAAACTCAATGGCAGTTCCAGGTAAGAAATATGTAACTGAATTGAAAAGAAACAGAAAGGGATGGTTTATCTCTGTGGTGGAGTTTTTTGGAACAAATGGAAAGCAATTGCTTTGTGTGCCGGAAGGGAGGCTACGAAAAGGGTGGATGGACTTTGTGAAGGTGCTACAGTCTTTTCTTGTAGCCTTGGAAGTGAAGAGAGCAGAGGGGGTGAAGAGAACTGGTCAAAATTCCAAAGACCAGGGTAAAAAAGCTCAGAAGGGGGCAGTTTCGTTTAGTTCCTCTGGGAGCGTGGAAGTGCAAGGCATTCCGACTGAAGTGGTGGTTGCTTGTGCTTCTAGTCTTAGAAGATTATCGGTAGGAGCAGGGAAGGATGAGTGGAAGAAAAGAAGGGTGCTAGTGGCTGATAGAGGAGTGACAGATTGGAGAAGGGTTCTGTGTACAGTAGCAGGGGAGTTAGGATTTGGGAATGAAGCTATGTTGTTCCCTTTTGCAGAGACGAAAGCCGTGCTTGATGTAGGCAACCAGGAGCTAAGTTTTAAAGCAGTAGTGGTGGATGGAGTTCTGATACAGGTTCAGAACTGGAGTCCAATATGCAATGAAGTCGAAGTCCAAGATGGGGGTGTCCGGATGAAGCTTGTAGGCCTTCCTTTTCACCTCTGGCAGAACTCTGTTCTCGAGCACATCGTGCAATGTCTGGGAGGCATCTTGGTGAAAGCTGATAAGCAAAATCTGGGTGCCGTGGAGGTTGCTGGTGTAAGGCACGAGAACCTGCCGAGGGTCATTGAAATCTGCTCGAAGGAAGCCTGGTACAAGGTGTGGGTGGCCTCTGAAGTCAAACAGTCGTGGTGGGGAGGTGTTCCTAAGGTAGAAGATGATGAGCTGGCTGGGTGGTGGACACGTGGAGGGCATAGGTTGGGAGTTGAAAAGGTGGAGCAGATGAAAGGTTTTTTTGGGGTTACTGAACCGGTTGGGGAAAACCAAACGACAAGAAATCTTTTTAAGGAAAATATTTCAAATAGGTTTGAATTAAACAA